CCTCCTGCCTCTGCCTCCCAAGTGCTGGGATTAAAGGCCTGTGTCACCACCACCCAGCCTCGGCTCCCTCTTTCTCGCTCTTTTTCCCTCTTTCCCGAGGTTCCCCTGGGGCAGACAGGACTTTTCCTGTCTCCCTCTTCTCTTCTTTCCTCTCTCCGTCTCTGTACCTCTTCCCCTCCCCCCCTTTTCTAATAAAACTTCTCACTTAAGTTCTGTCTGCCTGGCATGCCCTCCCCCCACCTCGGTCACCCTCGCCTGCCTTGGAACACGCCCAGGTTCCCCAAGTGCTTTATCATGACACCCGGCCCTCCTCTGATTTCCACAGGGTACCTTCTGTCATCTGTGTCAGCCATTTCCCTCCCAAACATCCCCCAAGCCACAAAATGTTCCTCCTGTTTTCTCCAGTTACCTTAGCGCACAGGGATATGAAAGAGAATCCTGGGAACGAACTGTTTCTTAAATAGATGTTTCAACAACTTCTGTTTTTAGCCCCACCTTTACTCTCGTGTCTTGAGTTTCCTGGGTCTGCATTACCCTGAGCCCCTGGGGATGCTGTGATGTAAGCCAGGGACTGCTGAGCTCTCCTGGCTGCTAATGCCAGGTTTAGCTGCTTGGGCCAACTGAGCCAGCCACCAACCTGTTTACTCTTCAGCTTCCTAAGTGTACTTTACTCTTCTGCCTGTTCCCTTTGCTCACAGAAATTTATTCCTGAACAACAAAACAAAATGAAATTGTGCTTGTTTGCTAAATGGGCTTCAATGAGGGAATACAGGTGAATCATGTGTGTTCCATGTGCTTTCCTCAGCTGCAAGTCTTGTTTTTCTGTCTTTTGATTTTACCTTGCTGTTCATTTGGTTTCTCTCAGCTTGTTGGCTTTCAATCCCCTATAAATACTTGAGACGATGGCTCATTTGGCTCATGCATTTGGAGGTTTTGGTTATGGTGAGTTGACCTGTAGGAAGCAGCACACATGGTAGAGACAGCCAGGAAGCACATTCCCTATGACCCAGCTTCCTCTCACAGCCTCTTCTAATGACCAGAGACCCAGGCTTTAACTATGTGCTTCTCAGCTGGGCCATGGTGGCGAATGCATTTAATCCCAGCACTTGAGGCCAGCCTGGTCTACAGAGCAAGTTCCAGTACAGTCAGAGATACACAGAGAAAACCTGTCTTGAAAAGAAAATAAAACATACAAATCTCTATAGGACATTTGAGGTTGAAGCTATAACCTTTGGTGATAACACTTTTCTTTGATATGTTAGATTTTCCCACTAATTAATAATGTTTACCATTAAATATTAATTAGAAGCAACAGGGCTGAAGAAGGAATGGGAACTTTTTTTCCTGAAAGGTGAGCTCAGTGTTTGTGGGAGCCAGACTGTACACCTTCCCTGTTGTATCCCTGCACACCAGAAGAGGGCACCAGATCTCATAATAGATGGTTGTGAGCCACCATGTGGTTGCTGGGAATTGAACTTACAACCTCTGGAAGAGCAATCAGTGCTCTTAACCTCTGAGCCATCTCGCTCGTTACTTTTATACTCTACATTTTCTTTCCCTTTACTAGCAACTGCCAGCTGCCAGGAGCTCCTTAACTAGAGTGGAACTTTGTGCTCCCTCCTCTCCCCTCCCCATGCTGGAATTCTCTCTGGCCCGAGCTGACACAGGTCTTTTTGTTGTTGTTTTGTTTTTTTGTATTTTTGAGACTGGGTTTTTCTGTGTAGCCTTGGCTGTCCTGGAAACTCTGTAGACCAGGCTGGCCTTGAACTCACAGAGATCCACCTGCTTCTGCCTCCCGAGTGCTGGGATTAAAGGCATGTGCCACCACCCTACTTGTTTCTGTTTTGAGACAGCATCTCACCGTGTAGCTCTAGCTGTCTTGAAACTCGCTATGTAGACCAGGCTGGCTTTGAACTCACAGAGCTATCTATGAGTCAGCACACCCTGCTTTCTGCACAGGTCTTGAGCATGCCGTCTCAACTGCTGTGAATCTGTGTGTGCAACTGTCCTTTGTTCAGAAAGCACTGTTGTAGTCATTCACCACCTGTGTCTCTCACACCCTTTCAGCCTTTCCTCCCCTCTCCACAGTGATCGCTGAGCCTTGGGAGGAGGGACTGTGATACAGATATCCCATCTGGGGCTTATAGTCCTCATATTAGAGATAACCACTGAGACCAGCAACGAGCCGGTTGCCTGTGTGAGGTCAGCCTGCAGGGCCGGGCCAAGCAGGTATTTGCATGCAGTCCACCTGCTTCCACTGACTGCAAGCCTCTGCCTTCTCTCATTCCTTCCGTTATTACTTGTTATGGTTTGACACAGTGTCTCATACTGTAGCCCTGGTTGGCAGAGAACTCACTGTGCATCCAGAACTGGCTTTGAACTCCTAGCAGTCCTCCTGCCTCAGTCCCCTGCGTGCTGGATTATAAGGGTACACTTCTGCCACCAACGCTCACTCCCCGCAGCACTGCCTCTGCCCTGCCTGAAGCATATCCTTTAGAATTTTTCAGGTGTGGCCTTCTGGGAGGTGAGCCTTCAGGAGAAACATCTTTATTTCCCCTTCCTTCTTGAGCCCTGTTGTAAGCAAGCAGTCCTCAGGTGCTGCTCATTTTCACTGAGCAGTGAAGTTCTTGATGCCTCAAGGTTCCTTCTGCCTTTCTGTTAGTGCAAAGGCACTATACCAGGAGGCGCATGTCCTGCCTAGGACACAGTACACTACCTCAGAGGGTTTCCTGTCTACTGCATGAGTACTTGGGCTGTGAAGCCTTCCCAGCCTCTGTAAGAAGCATATCTCAGGTTAGAGAGATGGTGGGAGCGAAGAGTGCTCACTGTTCTTGCAAAGGCCTTGCATTAGGTAACAAAGGTTTTATATATATATATATATGTATATACATATACATATATATATATATATACATATACACATACATTTTGTTGGTTTTTTTTGTTTGTTTGTTTTTTTCAAGACAGGGTTTCTTTATGGCTTTGAAGACTGTTCTGGAACTCACTCTGTAGACCAGACTGGCTTTGAAGTCAGAGAGAACAGCCTGCCGCTGCCTTTCAAGTGCTGAGATTAAAGACATACATCACCATGCCCGGCTGGAGTTAGACATTTTAAATACCAGGTTCCTCAGAAGTAAAACCTGTAAAGTTTTCTTTAGATGTTATTAATATTTGCTTACACCGTTAACTTCTTTAAGAAAATATGAGCTTACTTTGTTCAAGAAAATCCCGCTTTATGTGTTAGCAAGAAAGACGCCTTTGGAGTTCCTTAGAGCTGGAGCTGGTGTGGTATAAATCCTACACTCAGTTCTCAGAGTTCTTTATGTCTAAGGAACTTGGGGCACAAGTGAGCTGTCAGTGGCAGACTGGACTGCTATTAGTGGTCTTACACATAGCCTGGGTTTCTAGTGGTTCCATTCTTGTGCCCAGTGTATTTGTTGATAGCACCAAGAAAACTTAGAGTTTGAGCATCTGTAATAAACGCTGTTTACAGATACTGAGATTTGGAAGAAAAGTTGAGATCATTGGTATAATTTCATCTAATGTGAAAAATAGTCACTGTTGTGGAATATTATTTTAACTGGACAAATATGTGTTACATTTGCTCATGCTGCAGAATATCACTTTAACTGTGTAGAGGTGTGTTACTTTTGTTTATGCTGCATTTGTTTAATTATGAAAAGATGCATTGCATTTGTTTTACCTTCCATGCCTAAGGCACCTGATTGGTCTAAGAAAGAGCTAAACGGCCAATAGCTAGGCAGAGAAAGGATAGGTGAGGCTGGCAGACAGAATAAATAGGAGAAGAATCTAGGCTAGAGAGACTGAAAGAAGAGAGACACTGGGGCCAGAAGCCAGGCAGTCCACAAGCCAATCAGCAGACACAAGAAGCAGTGAAAGTAAAACATTTAGAAGTAAGAAAGGTAATAAGCTCCAAGGCAAATAGTAGATAAAGAAAAACAGGTTAAGTTAAAAAAAGAACTAGACAGAAATGAGCCTGAGTTAGGCCAAGCATTCAAAATTGTAATAAGTCTCTGTGTCATGATTTGGGAGCTGGTTGGTGGCCCAAAAGAAAAAAGCCTTGTATGAGTCACTGTAGTTGATGTACTAGTCATTGTGTGAACCGACAGAAACAGCCTGCAGACTAAACAGTCGTCAAGGAACCTCACACATTGGCAACTACATGGCTTAAAGTGGGGAAGCCTCAGAGGACACACTGGAGCCCTAAGTGTGGTGTCTTCAAAAGAAACTTCCAACCCTACGAAGGTCAGAGTCATCATATGAGCTGCCTCTTAGGAAATAAGGATATTGCATGATAGTTGTTTTAAAAAGGGATCAGATGTAAAAGCCACAAATATATACAGTAAAATAAGTCATAGACTTCACATGGATGCAATGTGTGATATAGAGGTATCGCTCTTAAACAACTGAATGTAAGTTTCCAGTATGTGGAAGTATGCTTAAGGCATTCTTAAGTAAGGAGTAAGAAATCTTAAGTTCTAAGTGGAAGTGAATTAAAATACTTTTTTTTTCTAGAATCAGAAAAAAAAACAAAGCAAAATGAAATCTGAGCACAGAGACTTTTAAAAAGTTGTTAATAGTGGGCCGGGCATTGGTGGCGCATGCCTTTAATCCCAGTACCCAGGAGGCAGGTGGATCTCTGTGAGTTCGAGACCAGCCTGGTCTACAAGAGCTAGTTCCAGGACAGCCTCCAAAACCACCCTATCTCGAAAAACCAAAAAAAAAAAGTTGTTAATTGCACCATTCATGATCTCAGGTTATTGACTTACTTCCAGAATTGCATGTGTGAGTGCGCCCAGCGTGTATCAGAAGCTCCGGGAGCTGCACAGGGAGGACATCTCTGTATACATCTTTGAGTACGACAGAAGATTCGCCATATACGGGGAGGAATTTGTCTTCTATGACTACAACAATCCACTGGACTTGCCCGGAAGAATCCCCGAGCACAGTTTTGACATCGTGGTTGCGGATCCTCCTTATCTATCTGAGGAATGTCTCAGGAAGACGTCCGAAACAGTCCGGTTCCTGACTCGGGGCAAGGTTCTGCTCTGTACAGGTGGGTGCTGCCCTTCTCATCCTGTCAGGGTGCTGGCTTCAGGAGTTGGCAGAGATCTCAAAACTGGATCCTGAATCTGCCATGTACTGCATGGCCTTAACCGGGTCATGAGACTTCCCTTGCCCCAGAGGGCCATTGTGAATTGAGTGATGCAGCACACATGATGTGTTCAACATGGTCTGACTCATGCCTGTGTATACATGTTAGCCATTCTGTTTAGTAACCGCCACCATTATGGCCACATATATGCACTACACACATAGCATCTATGCACCACATAACACACACATACACACAATAAAAAACGTGGAAAAAGCAGGCACTTTGCAAACATGTTAGAGGAAGTTAAAGGGAATATAAAGACTATATCTGGGGCTGAAGAGGTAGTTCAGCAGTTAAGAGCACTGCTGCTCTGTCAGAGGATCCAGCTTCAATTCCCAGCACCCACGTGACAGCTCACAACTGTCTGTAACTCCAGTTCCAGGGCTTCTGACACCTTCACAGAGACATACATGCAAGCAAAATACCAATGCACATAAAATAAAATACTATCTCCTGTATTCTTTGGGATTGTCCCCCAGTTATTCAGGGATCTTTATCTAGAACCCAGTTGTAGGAATGCATTTGACTCTAGCTCACTTGGTATGGTCTTCACAGGAGCCGTCATGGAAGAGCAGGCAACTCAGCTCCTTGGTGTGAAGATGTGCAAATTTATTCCAGAACACTCCCGAAACTTGGCCAATGAATTCCGCTGTTACACAAACTATGATTCTGGTCTGGACTATGAAACCTAAATTCACATGGCACATGTCCATTTCCCAATTTATTCTTTCTCTGTTGAAATGTGGCCTCCCCTCACTCTGCCTTGGACTGGGACTCTCCTGGTCTAATTTTCAAAATAAAACTTATCATTGCTATTTCTGTAATGAGGTTGGGATTTTTGTTGTTGTTGTTGTTGTTTTTTTCAAGACAGGGTTTCTCTGTGTAACAGCCCTGGCTGTCCTGGAACTCACTCTGTAGACCAGGCTGGCTTCAAATTCACAGAGATCTGCCTGCCTCTGCCCCCTGAGTGCTGGAATTAAATATGTGTGCCACCACACCCTGGCTTGAAGTTGGGATTCTTACATGAACCCGAATTCACTGACTCAGAGTAGAGAGAAATGTTAGAAGCTGTTTAACTGTTCAACATCTGCAAAAACAGAACAGGCCTCCTGAATGGCCCAGGACCTTGGCCTCTGCTGGAAGTTTGCATAAAATGGGCAGCTCTTGCCTGCCAGTGGACTGGGAGTGAATGCTCCAGCAGCTACTTGGAGACCTGATTGCCTCCATGGAGCAGGTTGATGATCCAAGGCACGGTGTCTCAGCCACACACCCCATCCCCCTACCCCCCCACCCCCACCCCACCCCGGCCCCCAGGCTCAGCCTCCCTTCAGCTCTGAGAGCCCTGGTGGACTGTAGCACTGCTGTTCCAGCTCGTGGCTCAGCTCAGCATCTCACTCACACTGTGAAAGGGGATGGTGGTGCCAGGCCAAACTCCATAATCAAACAACAGAGCTGGGGCACTGCCCTCAGGGTGCTATAGTGGTCTCAGGCCCTCCATATGTCTAGGAATGAGCTCTAGCTGTACTATAGAAGGATATCTGAGATAAAAGCCAGCGTTCCTCAGGAACTTTGTGAAACTGGCTGTCCATCCCCAAAAGGAGTCCCTTGCCCCATCTCCTTTCTTCCTTGTAATCCACATGCTTTGTCCACCCCAAGCCCTCTCACTGTCTCACACTCACACTGCACTCTATTCTCTGCTCATCTCTTGCTATCTCCATTTTCTCTCCCACTTCATCGTGATATCATAGCAAAAGATATCACTTGCTATGTGATATCTTTTGCTATCTCCACTATTTTTCCTGCTCTCCTGCTTCCTTAGGCCTGGTCGTGTCCAGTCTGTGTTCCTTTTTATATCCCTCTGGATATATTCTCTCTCTCTTATCCACAATAAAAACCTTTCCCCTAATGGAGCAGTCATGTTGGTAGTTTGCGTACCACACCCCCTCACAGGAAACAAGAGTAAGTACATAAGATCCTTCTGGTTGTAGCCAGGTGTTGGTGGTGCATGCCTTTAATCCCAGCACTTGGGAGGCAGGTGGATCTCTGTGAGTTCAAGGCCAGCCTGGTCTATAGAGCCAGTGCCAGCACAGCCTCCAAAGCTACAGAGAAAGCCTGTCTCAAAACACCCCCTCCCCATAACGAAAGTCTTTACTCCAAGCCGCCCAAGCCCTGCTGTCACATGGGCGCTTTCCGCCAGGCCGCCTGAGTTCCGCCCACCACTATGTTAAGGTCCCAATTAACACATAGAAACTTATATAAGGTTACAAATGCTGCTTAGCCAAAGACTAGGATTTCTCATCTGCTAGCTCAGTAAGACTTATCTTATGGAGGATGCCTTCCCGGGATCACATGGCAGCTCAGAGCAGAAAGCAAGAGAAAGAGCAAAAGAACGACTTCCTTCTTGTTCTGGCTTATGTATGAATCTGCCTGCTATGTCACTTCCTGCCTGTATCACAAGACTTCCTTTTACTACATTTCCCAGAATCCTCCCATCTATCTTGCTTTCCTATTGGCCAACAGTACTTTATTTATCAACCAATAAGACAAACATATACACAGAAGGACCTCCCCCATTCCCCCTCCCCCCCCCAAAAAAAAAAATCCTTCTGGTGTTTTGGTAACTTTTGAGACCTACAGTCTTGTCAAAATTAAAAACAAACAAAACAACAACAAAAAATACTCTACCTCTCTGGGAAAGGATGACTTGCTTTGATCAAAAGAATGTCAGTTGGCCAACACATGTCACTTGTTCTATCCCCTCCCCCACACTGACCAGCAATTCTCCAAGTGGAAGTTGCTTTAACAGCTATCCCTTGACTTGGACAGCATCACAATTCACCTGCAGAGTAGGAGAAATGCTACTGGTTGTTGGGCACCTGTGTTGGCTAGTTTTATGCCAACTTGAGACAAGGTATGGTCATCAGAGAGGAGGGAGCCTCAACTGAGAAAATGCCTCCATAAGATCAGGCTGCAGGCAAGTCTGAAGGGCATTTTCTTAATTAGTGATCAATGGGGGAGGGTCCAGCCCATTGTGGGTGAGGTCATCCTTAGGCTAGTGGGCCTGGGTTCTAGAAGAAAGCTGGCTGAGTAAGCGATGGGAGCAAGCCAGTAAGCAGCACCGCTCCATGGCCTCTGCATCAGCTCCTGCCTCTAGGTGCCTGCCCTGTCTGAGTTCCTGTCCTGACTTCCTTCAGTGGTGGACTATGGATGTGGAAGTGTAAGCCAAATAAACCCTTCCCTCCCCAATTTGCTTTTGGTCATGGTGTTTGATCACAGCGACAGCAATAGTGACCCTAGGACAGCACTGGAGAAGATGGAGTTGTCACTACAGGCAACACCCAGCCTGTCCTGGCTGATCCAGAGGCAGAGGCCAGGGACAGGAGTCTCTCTTCAGAGATCAGGAGAATTCCTTCTTATTCTTTAGACCTTGGCTGTCATGTTCCCAGATGGCATGGCTCTAAGAAGTGCTGCTTTTATGAGACACCTGGCACATGTTGTTACATTCTTAAAACTGTTCTATAAACATTTTTGTTTCTACCTTATTGTTTCTGTAGGAACCAATTTGCCACAAATTCCTTAGTCCAGAAACAAACATTAAGTGACAAAGTCTATGTAGAAATGAAATGTTCTGTTTGGGAACTGTGGACAGCTAACAGTGTAGAAATCAGAAAAGAGGTGTCCTGTAAGCTGCAACTACTGTACGAAAGAGACAGGGCACAAGTCAACTCCTCAGAAGCACTAGGCCTACAGAACCACATCATGAAGGTTTGGTTCCCCCCCCCCTTTGGAAATTGAAGCCAGGGCCCCATGCCTGCAAGGCAAGCGCTCTCTCTACCAGCTGAGCTGTGTTCCCAACCCTGTAACAGGCTCTTTTAAGAATCAGTCAACATACTTCATGGCTTTGGGACCCTTAATGTTGCTTCATTGGTGGTAAATCTATGTTCATACGTGACCCATTTCTGAACCTCATAAAGACCTGCACTGTTTCTAGGGCTCTCAGAAGACTACTTGTTGGGTGCATTCTGGTCTAACCAGGCAGAGGTGCTTGGGCTACATTCAAGCAGGTTGGTCCAGGAGGCGTTTCTTTGCTGTCTCTCTGCCCGCATCATAATAGTGGGCACAGACCAAGCATCACGGATGCTCAGAGCAACTTTGCCTCTCATGCTTTGTATATGGTCTGAATGTGAAATGGCCCCCACAGGCTCATGTGTTTGAACACTTGGTCCCCAGGTGGTAGTGCTGATTTGGGATGTTGTAGATCCTGCATCCTAGCTAGCATCAATGAGTCACTAGGTGTGAGCCATGAAAGTGATGCCTCCACAGAGCTCTCTCCATCCTGTTGGGATGTGACCTGATGCCTTCAAGCTCTCCTGACTGTGATGGACTGTACCCTTTGGAGTATGAACCACACAAGGTGTCACATGGATGAGAAAAGTAATACACTCTTTAGAGGATTACAGAGGTTGCAAAGAACCTTCTACTACTCATCCTTGTACCCATCCCCAAGAGGAGGAGATCCTAGCTTTTGCAGTTTTGCTCACAGAATCTGTCTCTTTGTTCTTCACTTAAAAAAAAAAAGGATTTATTTATTATATATACAGTGTTCTATCCGAATGTTTGCCTGCACGAGGGTACCACATCTCATTATAGATGGTTGTGAGCTACCATGTGGTTGCTGGGAATTGAACTCATGACCTCTGGAAGAGCAGCCAGTGTGCTTAACCTCTGAGATATCTCTCCAGCCCCTTCCCTTCACTTCTAAAATCAGAGCTTGAGCCAGTTACTAAGAAACATCCTATTGTTGTGGTTTTCACTTTGCACTGATGAGAAAATAAACTAAGAAGTTTGGGTAAATGGCCTCTGAACGTGGAATTGCTGGTATTAGCCCAAAGTTGGTAGGTTGGTCAGTTGCACTGTGTTGTCTGGAGACAGTGTATCATAGTTATTGTCAGCTAGACACAATGGTGTATCTAATAAGTCAAGTTCTCAAGGCAGAGCTGTGTCCTGGCAGAGAGTCCAAGAATCCAACTATTGTTCAGTCCACGCAGCTGGATGTCTCAGTTACTCTTTGGCATACACCTGAATCCCGAAGAAGCAGGCTCTAATACTAGTGAAGGAATGTCTCAGCTTCAGGACCGATGAACTTACTAGTGGGGGTGAGGGCAAGCAGGCAAAAACCTAAAACTTTTCTCTCCCAACCCTTTATATAGGCTGCCACCCGAAGGTATGACCCAGATTTAGATGGGTTGTCTAAACACAAAAGATCTGGGGATGGAAAAGTCCTCAAGCTGGTACAGCAAGCACTTTAGTGACTGACCTATGTCCCCAGTCCTGCTTCAGGTTTTCTTTTACCTTAATACTTAGGGGAAGGCTATTAGATTTGTGAATTGGACACACTTAGAGATCAATAGCAGTAGATGATATAACAATTATAGCAATGGACTCTGATAAAATCCTGCACCTTGGACCCCCCATATTGAAAATATACAAAATAGGGTCTCTTTATTTTGCCTATTAACTATACTAAAATGATCCTCCTGCCTCAGTTTCCTACGTAGCTGTGACTGGAGGGTGTGCTACCACACTAACTTCAAGGCATTTTTTCCCTCCAATTTTTTTGAGACAGTGTTTCTCTATAGCCCAAACTGGCCTCAAACTCCCAGCAATCCTCTTGCCTTTTAGCCTGACACATGGTGGAATTATAACTGTGTATGCCACCACACTGGCTTCAGGGTCAATATACCAGGTCAATATGATATCATGACAGGTGACCTGAGAAAACAAGATCTTTTATCATTAAGTGACTCACAGGCAGGTAGCATATACAAAATGGAAACACTGGACAGACAGATAACTCACATTCCAGCAAGAAGTAGAATCTCAAGACTTCAAATATGTACAAAGATGTGTAGCCAGGCAGTGGTGGCACACACCTTTAATCCCAACACTCAGAAGGCAGAGGTAGGCAGATCTCTGTGAGTTCAAGGCCAACCTAGTCTACAGAGTGAGTTCCGTGACAGCCAGGGCTACACAGAGAAACCCTGTCTGGTGGGGAAAAAAAGAAAAGAAAAAAAAAAGTTAAACCCTAAGAATTACTTCTGCTGGGCGGCGGTGGTGGCACATGCCTTTAATCCCAGCACTCAGGAGGCAGAGGGAGGTGGATCTCTGTGAGTTCGAGACCCGCCTGGTTCCAGGACAGCCTTCAAAGGAGAAACCCTGTCTCGAAAAAGCAAAGCAAAGCAAAACAAAAAAGAATTACGTCTGGAGTTTTTCATTTAATATTTTTAGATCTCTGTTGACCATAATTGACACATAGGGCAAGACAGAACTGTCCCAGCACGTGATTATAAAAAGATCTTTGGTAGCCTGCAGAATACCTACCTCCATGCCAAGCAATGCCACAGAGTCCTCATGACAGAATTTCTTTGTTGGAAACATGCACCAAGAAAAATTTCTGGGGGCCGAGGAAGCAGATATGGTGCCTTCAGTATCAGGCCCTGCTCTACCACAAAGCCTCGGAACAAACCTGCCTGGCAGACCTGTGCAGCCATGTTCACTGTGTGAAGTAAGATGCTAAGTAGAGTAAAGGCCACTGAGCTCAAGCGGCTGTAAATCCTCTATTTGAACATTGTTTCTTTCTTTTTTTTTTTTTTGTGGTGGGGAGGGGTTCTAGACAGGGTTTCTCTGTGTAATAGTCCTGGCTGTCCTGGAACTCTTTGTAGACCAGGCTGGCCTTGAGCTCACAGAGATTGCCCTGCCTCTGCCTTCCAAGTGCTGGCATTAAAGGTGTGCTCTTGTCTTAGTTTAAGAAAAGCACTTTTGTCTTGTCCACAGTTGTTGCCCAGGAGCTTGGTGACAGGAGTCGAGCATGTATTCCAGAGACACTGGGCTAGCTTCCTATTGTTATAGCACAGTGCCTGAGATGATCTGGGAAAATTTGTCCCTGGGCTCACCATTCTGAAGGTTCCAACTTAAGGTCAGGGGGACTCACTGTTTCGGGTCCTTGGTAGGTTTTCCAGATAGTGGCACCAAGGAGCACGTGACAGGCAAAACTGGTATAGGGTAAGTGAAGGAGATGGGTCCCATTGGGTACATCCCCAGTGGCCTAAGGACCTCTGTGAGGCTCTCTTTTTTTTTTTTTTTTTTTTTTTTTTTTTTCCCTGAAAGTGAGTCAGGAGAGGGTGTGGCTCACTGGAAGAGATCCTACTTCAAATTTCCAAGGGTTTGGGTTTCCTCCCAACACTCCAAACAAATTCACCTAAGCAGACTCTGGAAAGAAATGAAATGCACATGGCCAGCATACCCTTCAGCTAGCATTATTTTAGTGAATTAGAAAGAACTTCTACAAATATACTCAGGGGAGACTTCTCACGTACACGAGAGTAAGGATTTAGCTCACAGTTTAATACCCAGAGTGAGGCCTCCACATGCTGGAGACTGGGCCCTCCCTCTTCCTCCTCAGGCTTGGCTTGATCCAAAAGCCCAAGCTGTGTGCTTGGAGCTCCCTGAGAACTGGCTAAGATATCACATTCCACCTCCTGCCATAAATTGAGACCAGTGGCTTCCAAAAGTGGAAGAACAACACCAAAACAAAACTGTGATAAAGTTGAGATCATCCATATGCTAAAGAACAAAGGAGGAGAGTTTGGTTTCTGGAACCTGGAGGCCCCTCAAATCCCTCTCTCTATTGACCTGAGAGGCCTTCAGGGCATAGATTTGGAGCACCCATTTCACCTTGGTGAGCCTTGGCAACAGGCTGAACTCAGAGACAGGGCACAATATCACCTAAAAGTTCATCTGCACACCACAATTACGGTGGAAAGAATCCTATTAGAGGAAAGCGGATGTTTATAATTCGCTTGTATGTCAAGGAAGTTTTAAAAATAACATGCTTGAGCTAAATTACTAATATGAAAATAGTTTCTGCCTCTATTCAAAATAGCCTTAGGTATGTAGTGTCTACTCTGAAAAATACAAATATATTTAAAGCTTATGTAGCTGTCCTTTAAGAAACAGTGGGCAGTGGTTGGGGTGGGGGGTGGTGTTGGGGGAACAGATGCTCGCAGGAAGCTGGGTGGTGCCAGTCCCTGCATCAGCGCCCCGCTGGCCTGTCGCTGGGCCCGAGCAGCAGCTTGGCTCCCGGCTTGTCCATGCTGGAGTTGGCGCTGTCCGAGGCCTTGTCGGGCTCGGGCACGCAGGTGCAGCCCACCGGAATGGTGACATAATGTTCGGCGTAGACTGAGCGGCCCCCGGCGCAGGCCGCCGTGCGGCGCAGCACTACCGCAGGGGAGTAGACAGGGGCACTGCGGAAGCGGAAGTCCTCCTCACCGAAGAGCCCGGTCAGGCAGCCGCGGCACAGGCAGTAGGCCTCAGGCAGGTACCTCGGGAAGCGAGCAGGGTCGTACGAAATCCTGCCAACAGAGCGAGAGAGTGAGGGCTGCGGCAGGAGCATCACCGTGAGTTCAAGGCCGGCTTGGGCTACATAGCAAGCTGGGCCAAATGAGGAAGACTGAGCAGGGTTGGGCCCGACGACGCATCCAGTAGTTAGCATCCTGCTAAGGGCCTACTTGGAACGGTTACACCACCAGGCGGTGAGCCCCGACCTAGAAAAGATTGCTCTACCATGGCACTTGACTGACCGCTGTCAGATTTGAGATGCTGGATGCAGCATGGACCACTATCCTAGAGCGTTTTTAAAACCACCCTGCGTTGGGGCTGGAGATCTGCTCATTGGTTAAGCGCACTGACTGCTCTTCCAGAGGACCTGGATTGAATTCCCAGCACCCACATGGTGGCTTACTGTAATTTCAGTTCTAGGGGACCCAACACCCTGACACCCTCAGACATACCTGCGTGTAAAACATCAATGCAGCTGTGTGGTAGTGGGGCATGCCTTGAGGAAGATCTCTGTGAGGCCTGCCTGGTCTACATAGTGAGTTCCAGGCCAGCCAGGAATACACAAAGAAACTGTCTCAAAAAACCAAGCAAGCAAACAAAACTAAAAACCACCAAATATATAAAAATAGGTAAATTATTTTAAAAAAACAAAACCCTACCCTGTGTCAAGGTCACTGGTACAACACGCAGGTGACCACTGTATTAGGACAGGACAGACCATACTCCTGGCTGCCTTGTCAACCCTGAGGAGCCATCTCTGTGATTTCCAAGTCCAGGCCTGCCAGGCTCTGATTCCAGTTCCTGCTGCACCTGTAAAGAAGGCCATTCTGCGTGTTCTCTAGATAAGCTAAAGCAGTAGCAGGGAACAGGACTGGCTGGCCAGGGACATTTAAAATTGAGAAAATCTTAAATTCCATCATTTTGATTTATCTCCAAGTCTTCCAAGTTTCAATTCAGATGCCAAATGTAAACAGCTCCAGGACAGCCTGTGGCCAAATCCTAGGAAGGCCATACGTTAGCTAGTGGCTCACTTAGAAACAAAAGCAACCACAGGACACAGCCTGCTCTCACAGCAGCCACCTACACAGCTGCAGAAACCCAGAGTGTCATCGGCAGGAACCCAGGACCCAGGACCCTTCTTGAATGTCTCCTTGCTGGGGGAAGCATTATCCCCATTGCTCATGGGACTTGTGTGTGCCTGCATCCATGTCCACTAATCTAAGCCTCTGGGACCCTGGCAGTCCCTTATGGGTCTGCTCTCTCCAGAGCCCCTCACACCCATCATCTATTAGCCTTTACCTTGCTGGTTAGCAGCAGAAGTGTGTGCCAGCATGGGAAGCAGCGAACAGTAGCCTGAGTCCAGTGAAGAGTAAGGCTATATGGAAAGTCCTTACCTAATTTCATACCAGGTTTTGCTAATTTGAGTTTTTTTTGTTTGTTTTTGTTTTTTTTTTAAAGATTTTATTTATTATGTATACAACATTCTGCTTCCATGTATATCTGCACACCAGAAAAGGGCACCAGATCTCATTACGGATGGTTGTGAGCCACCATGTGGTTGCTGGGAATTGAACTCAGGACCTCTGGAAGAGCAGTCGGTGCTCTTAACCTCTGAGCCATCTCTCCAGCCCGCTAATTTGAGTTTTTGTTTTGTTTTTCAGACAAGGTCTCACTGTATAGTCCTGGCCATACTGGAACTCTCAGTGTAGATCAGACTGGCCTCAAACTCACAGATCTGCCTGCCTCTGCCCCTTGAGTGCCAGGAGTGAGGTTGAGTGCCACCATACCAAAGCTTGAAATTATTTTTACTTTGTTTTTGTTTTTTGAGACAGAGTTCCTCTGTGTAGCTCTCGCTGTCCTGGAACTCACTCTGTAGACCAGGCTGGCCTTGAACTCAGAGATCCACCTACCTCTGCCTCCCAAGGTGTGGGATTAAAGGTGTGCATCACCACTGCCGGCCATTTGAAATTATTTTTAAATGAAGAGCAAAAAGAGAAATAGTTAGGGTTTCAATTGCTGTGAAGAGACACTATGAACACAGCAACTTTTATAAAGGAAAACCTTTCATTTGGGTGGCTTATAGTTTCAGAGGTTTAAGCCAGGAAACATGGCAGCATGCAGGCAGGCATGGTGCTGGAGAAGGAGCTGAGAGTTGATATTGATCTGCAGGCAACAGAAGTGATCTGCTTCACTGGGTGTGGCCTGAGCATATATGAGACCTCACACCTGCCTCCACAGTGATACTCTTCCTCCAACAAGGCCAACCCTGATCCAACAAGGCCACATCTCCTAATAGCCCCACTCCCTTTAGGGGCCATTTTCTGTTGGGGATGCATTTTCTTTCAAACCACCAGAAGAAAAAAATATAAAAAAAAAATAAAGTTTTTAAAACTCCCTGATGGTAGAGCCAGGGAAATCTAAGCCTGACTGAATACCGAAAGCCTCAGTGAATGAACTGTTGGTGTGTTGAGACACTGTGGATCTGCCTGGCAGTAAGTACCCTTGATATCTGGTGGTTTGCAGATAATGGAGACCGGCAATGGCCCTGGGTACCCGGGTTTGCTGGGAGAGGGTGTGTGTCCTGTTTCTAAGAGCACACAGGCCTGTGGAGAGGCAGGACCATGGGCACCAGGCACTGAGACCATAGTCACCTCCAGTGGAGGGTCTGGGAAAATTCCACAGGGACCTGGAAGATGTGGTTACAACACAGGCTTCTCTAAGCTGGGAGGTGGAGGAAGCTGCAGACAGAATGTAGTAACACACACCTGGACCAGAAAAGAGATGGCTGTTGCAAAAGGTATTATGGCTGGAGCAATGGTTGTCAACCTGTGGGTTGTGACCCCTTTGGAGGTTGCATATCAGATATTTACAATATAGTTCACAACAGTAGCAAAATCACAGTTATGAAGTAGCCATGAAATAGTTTTATGTTTGGGGTCACCACAACATGAGGAACTGTATTAAAGAGTCGCAGCACTAGGAAGCCTGACGCCCATTGGACTGGAGTGGTTATGTGTGAGGGTGAACTCAGGGGTGCTGGGGGCATGCCTGAGCATGTGCAGGAGAGGACTGTGTATAAGCATGTATGTGTGAACAAAAGCATGGGCAGAGGTTGGGTGTGACATATGAGGGCACACGTGTGAGTGTAAGAATGTTCCCGAGGACCTGTGTTGTAGATTCAAGGCTGTGTGAGCATGCTTGAATGTGTGAGCGTGCGAGATTGGGAATATGTTTGTGTGTGCTGAGTCTGTGATTGTGTGTGCTCATGTGTGTGGTGGCAGGCTAGGGATCTGGTGGGAGCCAGAGCAGAGGACAGGAATTTAATTACACAGCTCCCTGGATGGGGAAAAAAGACAGGCTACCCAGCATCCAGTGAGACTCCCGGAGAACCCAAGGGAACTCTCGGAAGACCTACTGAGACGAGGCGCTTCTCTTTGGCATATCTGTTTGACCTGAGACCATCATACACCCCTTTCAGTGCTAACCAGCATCCTGGGTGTCCTTCAGGAGCAGCCGACTCTCAGATGCCACTCTGGTTAGTTTTGTAGGTGAAACTGTTACTGCTTTGGTGCCTGGTGGCTAAAGGCTCATCCAACTAAAAATATCCACCCAGCACTCCAGGTGGCCCCAGACCAAACCTTTCCACTTCACCTTGAACCCTCTGAACTAGGGCCAGTGACAAGACACCCACATCCCCCAACCCACCTGCCACCTGGGACAGAATGAAGGAATGAACATGGGGTATTTTCAGAATGTATCTTTGAGACCTGGGTTGTTCCCTTGCCCAGGAGGGTGCTCGACATGGAGACTCAGATGTGCCACCCACTGCAGTGGTGTTCACTCAGAGTGACCAGCACTGCAGAAAGGCAAGCAGCCCCAGAGTTTATGGATGCCTAGCTTCCTGCCTAATCTGGAGAAATCACCAGCTCCATGGGAAAGAAAGAGCAAGGCCTCTGCAGGGACCCTTTCTCTTCCAAACATGGAAATGTAGCCCAGCAGAAACCCTGCCTGGCCTCCCTGGCCAGTCCCCCAATGTCTCTACTGAACACTGTTCTGTGCAAACTTGGCTCGGGACCTGCTTGAAACACATCAACTTTTCCCCACTGACGAGAATCTCAGGAGCGGCCCTGGCCCCGTGTGAAGTTTGGCTGGGGTGAGTGACAGCTGGTGGGGCTTAATCCAAGAACAAAGGACAAGTCCTCCAGAGATGATTAGAGGTGATGGAAGCTGAGCTCTTGGAGGAATGTAAGTGACAGCAGGGACAGAAAAAGAGCGCTGCCCCTGGGCCTGGACACGTAGGAAACAATTCTAAGCGGTTCCGGAGGTGGAGCTCAAAGAACAATGAACACGTTCCCAGGAGGAATCTGCCACCTGATGTGTGCATCTCAGGGCCAAGTGTAGCCAGGCAGCCACCAGCACAGTTTGCCTCTTTCCAAAACATATTTCCATTTCAAAGCAGCAGAACCCAAGGATGGCCGATTCTCCCCCGGGGCAACCCAAAAAGCTCCAACCCCAGGCACCAAGCTAAGGGGTCCTGACCAGAAGTCCCAGGCACCCATGAGTAAGTGGGGACCAAAATGGCCTCAGCAGCCTGAGTCAGCAGCACTGAGAGCCAGTGAGTTCAGCCCAGAAGACTTTCTAGAGAAGGCAGGGAGCGATCAGACAGGAGTCCTGGAAAGAAAACGTTGGTTCAGTCTAGTCACCCACCAGGGACCCAGAGCAGATTATCACTGCCGCCAGTTGAAGGGGATGGTTTGACAGGAAGGCCACTTTGCCAGCTTCCTGGGGGCCCTTTAGACCAGGCTTGAGTTTTGGAAAGGTCTTGGAAAATTCCCTCAAGTGAGTGTATTCGTTTAGTCTATAACATCAGCACATCTCTAACCAGAATCCCAGTGTAGAACTTAGCAAACGGATCCTAAAACTGACAGGAAGGAAAAGGCCACATTCCAGGGCAATGAGCGGGTGACTCTCCACCAGACTAGAAGTGATTAAAAGACGAAGGTAAGACCAAGATGGTGGTTAATCCCCAGGGGACAGCTAGGCACAAGCAGCTTCCCTCACTAAAAGCCGAGAACCCTCTGAAAAGGCCCTGTCAGTGCAAGCAAGACCGCCAACATGGGGCTTACAGAGTACCTGCAGCAGAACCAAGCAAGGCTCTTGTTTAAAATGAAGGCTCTGGCAGAGTGTGGTGTGTGACACACGGTCCATGCAGCACTCGGAAGGCTGAGGCAGGAGGACTATAAGTTGCAGTCCAGCCTGGGCCACATCAAGTTTGGGACCCTGTTTCCTGAGAGAGATGTGTCAATCATCCTGACTTATTCGTTATATAATGTACT